ACAAAGGTGGTCTAGGCATTCCTTCCATTAGTGCACTCCAATTTGCTTACAACTGTTCTGTGATTTTTAGGATGTACAATGTGTCTTCACCTCTTTCCAAATGGCTTTTATGTATTTACAAATCTCCGGGGATGCCTCCTCCTATCTTTGCATCCAAGCAATGGAAACCTATCTGTAATACTACTGCGGGGGTTAAGCACTGCTTCAATTTCAATATTACTAGGTCTGCCCCTATTTCCCTCATTTGGGATCACTGGTGCAATAACAATACTATCAGGGAGTATATGGGGGGCTCTTTTGTGGGCACTTGCCCAGATATCACATTGAACTGTTTAATCTCTGGATCACAGTGGAATTTTCCTCAGTTCTTTCCGCATACTTTGGGAAATCTGATAGCTGGGTTCAACATTAATGCGGGGGATAGCCACTGTTTGTTATGGAAAAATAGCTATTCTTATAAGTTTAAGAATTTCATGGATGAATATTACTCTGCCGATATTTTCTACAATGCCGATCGGCCTGGACGATCCAAAATCGTCCTGGACGATCCTGAGAGAAAAATCCAAATCAGAGAGGAACAGTAAGGGAACGAGGTCTCACAAAGGTTATGAGTTGATTCTAAATGAATGATCTATAACGTAGATAATCAATATTGTTTGAATTCTTCTATGGAGTGTTTTAAATTTTAGCTATAGCTATGATGCATGTCGACTTTGGTTGTTTTTATAGGGCATGATATTCTCAAAATTTATAAATAAGTCATCACTCTCAACATGAATAGGGCTTTTCTTGAGAGGAGAGAAAAAGAAATAGAGAGAAGATGTGTTATTTGAGAAAGGAAATAAAAAAATTTTTTGAGCTTGCAAGTGGAGTTCTTCGACGTCTTCAAGAAGAAAGAAGTGTTCAAAATTTCAATTCTAACAAACGAAGAGGACATTGTTATTAATATCTTCAAATTTGCATGACTTATAATCATTCAAATATTATTTTTAAAATTTAGTATAATATTCGATCTTTGCACTATCATAAATATAAGCTTACTTAAGATGAACAATTTCAATATTGATGTTCAATTTTGTGATTATTTTATGGTTTATCATATTTTCCACTAAGATCTAACTTTGGGCTCTTTTTCATACCAACATTTGTCAATAACATTAATAAAAAAAGGTCAATAACAGATCAAAGAAAACAAGAAATTTAATTTTTATAAAAAGACATATATTTTAAAGAAAGCATAGAAGGTTTTAAATGTTCAAAAATCTCAGGCAATTTAACCATATTTAATAAATCGTTGGTAGGAAGAAATATTTCTTCCATGCATTTAATTATTTTTATAAATAGTAAGATGTTAATGATCAGTGTGAAAAAATAATAATAATAAATATATATATTTTTTATCATCGTTTCAAAGAGGATAAGATGCTATTAGGCCGCTTATAGATATTATAAAGCATACTTGATATAATATATGCTATGTAGTCAAGAAATGTGGGGCATTGAAATAAAAAAAAATAAAATAAAGGGGTCAAGTGAAAATTTATTTTCAAAATAATATTATTTTTATTTTTTATATTTGAAAAATAAGATTTAGATTATATATATATATATATATATATATATATATTTTCATATATATATCCCTTTGCATAAGAATTATCTTGTGTCTATCCATTCTTTAGTTAACCGACCAATAAATTAAATTAATTTGGCTAATCCGACTTGACAAGGGAATAAATTAATTTTAATTTTATAGGGGAGTTATATATAAAATTAAGTTAAGCGTTGTAGAGATGAGAATGCTTAGGTGGATGAGTGACTTTATACTTAGAGATAAAATGTGAAACGAATATAAATGTGAAAAGGTTGGAATAGCTCCAGTGGCAAATAATATTAAAGGGAGTCGCATTAGATGGTTTAGTAAAATAAAGTGTCAGGCTTCCGATGACTCAGTTAGGAGAGTAGATGTATTATATTCAAATTATGTTAAGAAAGACAGAGATAGACCTAAAATGACTTGAGTAGAAAGTATTAGAAATGACATTTGATCATTAGATTTAAATAAAAATTTGATTTTTAATAGGACATAATAGAAAAAAAAAATTATGGTAGCCAACCCCGTCTAGTAGGATAAAGGCTTGGTGTTGTGAGAAATTTTTATGTGCAGAGGTTGGAAGCAGAATGCCGTCCATAGACCAACTAGAATGCGCCACATCAGCAATACCGAGCGAAAAGATGACGTGATGCAATATGATTGATCTTTGTATGGCGTTCGAAATTTACACAGAATAATTAATCTCATGTTATAGTTGAGTTTTATAAAAAATTGCTTGAAAAGTATACAATATTAAAGTTACATAATTGATAGAGAAAAGGTCATATATAAATAAAAACAAGGTTTTCATATTATCAAAGAACATAATTCACCAAAGAGATGGCTGGCTTCCATTTTCTCATTCCTTATCCCTTTCTATTAATTAAATTTGTCAATTTATAATGAATTAGATGAGTGATTAATCTAATTAGGCGATTAATATTAATTAATGTTAGTCTTATCTTTATCTCTATGGTTTGAACTAAGCAAATTAACCATTTTTCTATTTTAATAAACTTGTAAAAGCGCATGAACATTTGGTGCACGTATATTTAATTATACTTATTTTATAAAAATAATAATTTTAAGATATTATTTATATATCTACTTTCATTTTTATATAAATATAAAATTTTGATAAAAAATATAAGATCAATATAAGGAAGCCTCAATGCAAGGGAAAATTATTAGGTCCGGACGTACACTGGGCGTAGAAATACGTCCGGACTTCAATGAAACATTGGCATGTGGAATATACACGTGTCTGCGAAATTTTAAGTCAAGCGCATCAAGAGTACAGATAAAGCGCAGTCTATTTGCTATAAACTTTCGAATACTAATAGTGAGAACTCAAGAGCCACCATGATAGTCACAAATAACAAATCTCAAGCATACTAAAAGAGCATTGGAATCTCTATCATGGCCTTCTTTATTTTTTTCTTTTTTTTCTTATTGTACAAATTGTTTCTCTTGTTTGAAATAAATATAGCTATCTATTTGCTCTTGAGATCCTTGAGTAGGTTGTTCCTCCCAAAATTCAAAATATTAATCGTCGAGATGTTTGAGGGTACCATTGATTCTTATGTTCATGTTGATATATTTGAAACACTATATATGTACATAATCTTCTAAGAAATCCGTTAAAAAGTGGTTCAAATCTTTTACAGTAGTTAAGGCCACGCCGCTCATCTTGATTTATTGATTGTAAGTTTTAGTTATCAATCAAGATGTCTTGGATTTGAAACTTCCATGTATAATGTCTGTGTGAGCTTACCTTAACTAGCCTAAATGCCCAAAAAAAAGTAGCTAAGGCCTAAGAGTAACTATTTTTTAGGATTTTCCTTGTCTCCCTTAAGGTAGGGGGTGTCAATTTGGGTCAACAGATCGGGTTCGACCCAAACCCGAGCTGACCCAAGCGTAAACGAGTTGATCTGAACCTGACTCGGTTAGCTAAATGGGTTAGGGTTATCAACCCGGACCCAACCCGCACGGGTTACCGAGTTGACCGGACCTGACCTGCAAACTCGATTAGCTAAAGCGCAAAAATGCAAAATCTAACCCCACCGCACGTGATGAGGCGGGGCGGTGAAGCCGACGGTGACGGGACCACTAATGTGGCGAAGCAGGCGGTGAGGCCGATGGTAGACTCATCTCCAAAAGACGTTGGCGTTCGCAGTTTCGGGTTGGTCGTGGGTGTCGTTGGGTCCTGGCATAGTGGCATTAGCGGAGATGCTGCATTGTGGCAGCCTACAGGCCGGTGGGAATGGCTGCAACACTCGACTTAACTCATAGTCGCATAAGACGCGGGCGGACGACGGACATCTGGCCTGAAGCGACAAGACTAGAGGCGGACGCGACGTCGTTGACGAACGGACATGAGGCATTGACGTTCCCGGGTCAATTCGGGTCGACCCGCGGGTTGTCAGGTCAACCCGAACCCGACCCAATTTTTAAACGGGTCAAAAATCCGAACTAGGACCCAATCCGTTTGTTAACCGGGTCGACCCAAACCCGGATTTTTTCAGGTCAGGCCTGGGTCGGTTTCAGGTTGGGTCAATTTACCTTAAGGTCTCAAATCATTGACATGAAAAGACTCAGCAAGGACTAGCAACAATTATTATGTCTGAGGCAAATGGAAGGGGAATCTATAAAACATAAGAAATCATGAATAAGGCCACATTCATCTTGGTTCATCAGCCAATAAAGTTTAAATTCTCTTTTTTCTAAAAGAAAAAAAACCCTCCGCATGCTAAGAAAGATGGCTACAATAGTTCTCATTATACAAATAATTGTTTTTATGGGAGTTATTGACATGTTTTGTTCTATGACCAAATGAATGATACGAGTAGTCAAATTGAAACAGACAAGATTAAGGCTTCGTTTGGGACGGCTTTTTTATTGCTTTCTAAAACGGAGTTTTAGTACAAATTTTTTTCTAAAACAGAGTTTTAGTACAAAATTTTTTAATTTTGTACTATAACTCCGTTTTAGAAAGCAATAAAAAAGCCGTCCCAAATGAAGCCTAAAATAAAAATTGAGAAAGACCATCAGACTTTACGTGAAATATTTGAGACTGAAAATAAAAAATCATCGAGCCGCACCAAACCAAAATCACTATCAAATTAAGAGAAAATGTACATATCTTCTACACATAATTTTATAAATTTGTACTAAAAAGCTGTTTTAAGAAGCAGTAAGAAAGTTGCCTCAAACGAAGTCTTAAGGAATATAAATTTTAATTGATTAAAACATATCTAAAAAAACTATAACTACAAAAGCTTTCAGATCAAATTTTGAGGAAGAATATTTAAATCTAAATTTGCATTTTTTTCTGCAGGAGAAAACTACGTGTGAAAGAAACATTTCTGATAACAAATTACAGAAGATTTTGCGCTTTACTACGCAATGAAGAGAAGAATATGCAAACATATAATTGTTCCAGAAAAGATGAATTTACATATAAGACAGTATAGTATTTTGATCATTAACAAGCACACTGTTTTCTAGTAGGAACTTAATAAAATATGGAATGATTCTGAGATACAGAGCAAACACAATAATAAGAAGGCAGAGGCAGAGGCAGAGGCAGCGGCAAATAAAGAGATTAGGAACAGAGTATATACAGGATATAAATTAGTAACCTTATTTGTGCAAGTCATCTCCACTAGGAGACTTATCATGAATCAGATTAGTCGGTTCGCTCAAAACATACTTAGGTAATTCATACTTAGCGCCTGCAAAAAAAAAACTTCAATTAACAGATGTTTCTGAAGATATTTGAGGTTTTTTAACTCTTTAAGTGAGATAGCTGCTTGCCTCTTTCATCATAAACAAGTGTCATATCAGCATTAGCAAGGATGACACCAGCACTGTCCAGAATTGCCTGCGCAAGGTTGATATCAGCTTCTGCTGCAGCTCTTAGCGCATCCCAGATCTCTGTGATGAAAAGATGTTTTTTGTGAATTTATTGAAATTTCTACATCTTTGTGTATTGATCACAGTGCAAAATTTAGTCCTTGATTTTCAACATTTCACAACGGTGGGACTGATCCTCAAGAGAAATTATTCTGTGGACACCGGACGGTCCGGAGTTCAATTAGAACACGCCGTGTCACCTGGTACATAGTAGTACCGAGCACCGGTACTAAGCAAAAAAAAGATGTGGCCCGTTTTGGTTGGTCTCGGGACGCCATCCGGCGTCTGCCCAAAATAATTTTTCGATCATCAGGGTTGCAAAAAAAGGTCCTTGGCAGCATTAACAAGGCAAGTGCGGACATGATTGACTCAGTATGAAAATGAAAAACCTATTTGATTTAATTAGAAACGGAAATTGAATTGAGAGCGTCATATTCCGATTAGAACTGGAATTGAACTTTATTATAAATGTGAAGTCGAGTCAAAGTACATTCAAGCATGTTGGGTTTAAACTCCAAATTGATTTGAATACGTGCAGAATTTTGAGAATTTGGGTGAGTTTCTATTATTTTTTAGTTTCCTTATGTCCGAGAGAAAGCTTCTTCTCTTAATCAAGCAAATTCACATGAAAATAAGTTTCAACCAGCATATGGCATCAAAATGACTGTGAGAGTATAAACAGGATGCCTAAGCAGCCAGGAGAAGAATCTAGATAGTAAATTTATTACGGAAGCTGCAAGATTCAGGCTTCGTTTGGGGTGGTTTTTTTTATGCTTCTTAAAACAGCTTTTTAGTATAAAAATTTTAATTTTTATAGTAAAAATTTGTTTTAAGAAGCAGTACGAAAACCATTAAAAATGAGGTCTCAATGTCCAATAAGTCTAGGTTGTTGAAAAGTTTGATCAAAACAAAAATAGATATAAAAGAACAAGAGAAATAAGTCCACTGAGATAATTCAGCAAATCCTAAATTCATTTAAAGTTAAAACATCACCGGACCAAGAAATTCAATTATTTTCCTACTCGGTCTCTCTCCTTGGCATGCCAACCAAGGTCCAACCAAAACTGAAGCACAGTTTTCAGGGAGAAAATCTGGCAGCCGCCAGCCCATCCTCTCTTTCCTCTCAAGCAGATTAGGAGAATCAACCTAATCCCCATAATTCCTCTGCAGAAAACCTATCTTCTTGTTCTAGACAATTTCTGTCGATTCCATAAACCTACCGCAGCCTAATTTCATATCATATTTTGGTGCTATAGCATTAGATCCAACCTACAAGATTTTATTATAGTTTGTGTGAAATTTAAGAAAAATCAAGAGATTCCTATGGAAACAAAGACCCACGCATTGAATAGCATTCATGATTCAATGCATGTTAGGATTAAAAGAGCTTTAAAACATTTGAAGAGGCTATGTCAAACTTCTCCAAACGGTTCATAAAACTGATTGCTATCATTGACACTATCCCAGCACCATGGGATATATCTTCGGTGCGTCCACCATAATTTTAGGCTAACTATGCAAAGAAGAATAATTAGAAAAGAGAGATGACGGAAAAGAAAATCAATATGTCAACCTCACCAAAATGTTTAGAACATGCAAATGGGTTCTGCCAAAGAAATTGTGTTGATGGGTTCAATTAACTAGAAGGATCATAAGATGGGATGATCACATGATATGAACATACTATTTAATTTTAATTAGAAATAATTCAATTTCATGTAATTAAGATTAACATCATTAATTAAGAATTAATCTTATTGTTATGTGTGGAATCTAATTGTATTGATCAATTTAGTTATTTTGTTGTCTTGGACCTCAAAGTTAGTCGTGTATATTAGGGGGTGTAGGGGACCTGCTTGGCAATTGAATTTTTTTCCCGTAAAACGCATCGGTGCTGCGTACCCGAGCGCCCCAGTGTTGTGTTCCCGAGCACCCCAACGCTGAACGACAGAGAGCAGAGCATCGCATCTTCCTAGATATGGCACCGCAGCAGTTCAAAACAGATGCTTGAGTGCTGCAGCACTTCAAGTTGGAGTCGCAATGCTGCGAGACGGACTGAACGATTTTCTTTCTCGTTTTCTGAAGTGTTGCGTCCCTTAGAGTTATTTTACTTGGCTCTCTCTTGTATTTTCAGTTTGGGCAAGTGTGAGAACGGCGCATGTGAGAAGAGAAGCAATGTGAGAGAGAGAGAGAGACGAGAGATATGTACTTATTTATCTCAATTTTCATAGTGGATTTTTTGGTATGGTGTGGCTCTATGGGTTTTTCCACGTTAAATCCTAGTGTCCTTTACTTTCCGCTGCTTTACTTTCTTGCATGTTTCGTCATTGCGGTGTTTACTCCTCATCTTCCCCAACACTTACTTCTGAGCCATTACGTTTTTATAATTGATTGCATTTGCAAGAACAAATAGCATAAAATGAGGAATCAGGATCTAGAGGCTTTCAAGAAATTTTGCAAGTTTAACTTTGGAAGAAGAAATTAGCAAATAAATTTAAGAATATACTAAATTTAAAAATTGCAATTTAAAATTCAAATATAAGGGGTTACCAAACTAGGTTAAGGAGATAGATTTATATGGAGATAATTATCAAACCAATGCTGAAAAAACTAAAAAATCCATTTCCCTAATTTTAATTGTCAGACCACCTTTAAAAAAAAGAATAAAAATAATATTAGCTATGCTTTTAGGATGGCTACCCAAATTTTGAATGAATGAAGGAAATTAAGAATAAGAATTCTTAAATTAATGTAGATTGAGTGACTTAAATTTTTGTTATAAAAAGAGTTATTGTGACATAGTATGGTAAAGAAGATCAATGTTTGATTTTGCTTTAAAAAAGTATAAATTTTTTCACAATTTATTCACCATTATTATATACTAGATAAACTATTTACTATAATTTAATAAATGATAAAATATAATAATGTAAGTATTGTATTCTAATATTCACTTATAATATCTAAAATATCCTTCACATTTAACTTTGAAGTTAACTTTAACTCTTATTCTAGGTTCTGGGATTAAATTGGCTCAATTTCTAATAGTTGAGGGACTAAAATAGAGCAATGAAAAACTCTGTGATTAAATTGGACATTTATCAATAGTCGGGGGACTATTTTGAGTTTTTACTCAATTTATAAATCACAAAAGAAGATGTGAGAAGGTCAGGATTGAAAAGCAAAAGTAAACAACAATATAAAAATTATGAGTAAAAAAAAATAATGAAAGAGTTCAGTTCAAGCAAAAACATTAGGAGATTTAATGAAGAAACTTGAAAAAAATGATTATAAGGCTAAAAATAAAAGCCATATACTACCATGACACTATTAATTGTGGTAGGTTCCTTCAATATTGTTGCACAACATTATCTATGAAGCACAAATACTTCTAAAATCTATTTATTTCATATCAAATACATATTAGACACAAACATGTGTCACGCCTCCAATACGTCTAACAAATGCTCCTAATACAAGATCTTACTAAAGAATTTTCATATCATAATGTTGGATAGGAAGATCAAATCATTTGTAGTCCATGGGTAAAAAAGAGATCGTTAATTAAATGTTTGATAATTGAAAGATAGAAAATTGGACCATTGGATTATACATGGTAATAGCTCAAAATGACACGAGCTATGATCTATAGCACGGTGCGGCTCAACCCCTATGCCATTTTCATGACAAGGTGATAGGTTTAAAATGGTGTATGCTATTTGCGCTATGAAAGGGCAATAATGTATATCCTTGATAATGCACACAATTTTAGTTTATGAGATTTATGATTTCAAATTATGATTGATATTATTTATAATTTATTTAATTACTTTATTCTATTTTGATTTGCATTTCTTAGAGCATAGATAGTACCCTTCGACTCTCGACACTTGTGTGGGGGCTTTTGACTCTCACCTTCACCACTTTCACGAGGGCTCTCGGCCTCACCTTCAACGCACATGAGGGTTTGCAAACTCTCCTTCAACGTGTATCATGTCTCTTGATCTCACGGCTCTTGCCTTCTTAGACGCATACAAGCTTGTGATCTCGCCTTCGATGCACACAAGGGTTCTCGATAGAGTAGCGTACGAAGCACGCAAGGGCTCTTTATGTTCAATGGAACAAAGATCATCCCTCTGCCCTCCATGCACCAATTTTCTGAGGCTTCAGTTCTCGGCTAGCACATTCTAGGAATAACGTTTGAACATTATTTAGAGCTTTCTCTCATTTGTTGTCTTATAAATTAAGAAAAATATCATACAAAATAACATGAACTATATCCTTTTCTTAGTTTAATATTGTATAGCCTAGAACTTGAATTAAATTTCAAGAATGATGCAAGCATACATTTCTGTATTATGTCTCCAAAATATAGTTACAGTTTCATCAATAAAATTTTAATATATTTTGATATGTTCGAATTTGAACAAGCTACATCATACACTATGCTCTATGATCTACAGGGATCTTTGTGCTATGGTGCAGTATTTGCAATTGACAAACATGCATTGGATGGAAAGAAGGATGACTTATAAATTTTTAACTTATTTTGGACAAGATTTTGAATTTAAATATATATTGTCTACTTTTATGAAGAAATATTTTGAGGGTAAGTTCATTTCTAAATAGTGGAGTTATAGATAAGATTGTCCCTTATTTGATTGAGTTAATTTAAAAGATGATAAGGCCAAAACTACATTAATTTCAACTATTTTTTCCCTAAAAATAAGGTAATTCCAACCTTCAAAAAAAGTTCATTCCTCTTCCTCTGCTCAGGCATTATAACAATAATGCAAACACAATAGCAAATTATGGACGCTAGCAAATAATTAATAGAAGTCAAAAATTAGATGTAAGAGCTTCATAAGCAAGAAAACAAAATTAATTCTCTAATTGTGGACTCTCATCATCACATTGAAAGAATTACTCTACATTACGTCAGATCAACCTTGTACTAGAGCGGTTCACAAAATCTTTTGAGGATCTAACCCAGAATAAGTTCTAAAATTTGAAAATCTTCA